TAGGTCTCAGACCAGCCAAAACTTTCTCCAGGAAGCTTCCCCCAACACCAGGCTCCACTAACAGTTGGTTCATCGGTTAAACCTTATGCCGTCACATGTACTTTCAGAGTGCTTTGTACTTTCCCCAGTCATGGCACTCATCAACCTGTATGTTTAAATTTTAATTACTTATTTACTTATCTGTTTCCACCACCAGAATGTAAGCAACTTGAGCAGTGATAGGTAACTTACTTACTCATATAAAACATACCAGATGTTTTATAAATATGTTCTGTCAAATGAATGAATAAAGGAATGCCATATCTTTGCTAAAAAAGAACACTCCCGAGGGCTTCCCTGGTGGTCCAGTGGTTAAGAATCCCCCCTGTAATGCACAGGACACCAGTTTGATCCCTGGTCCAGGAGATCCCATATGCTGCAGAGCAACTAAACGAATATGCCACAACTATTGAGTTTGTACCCTAGAGACCAGAAGCCGCAACTACTGAGGCCACAGGCCCTAAACCCATGCTCCACCACAAAAGAAGTCACCACAATGAGAAGCACACATATCGCAACTAGAGAGTAGCCCTGGGTCACTGCAACTAGAGAAAAAAGCCTGGGCAGCAACAAAGACCCAGCACTGTCAAAAATAAATAAAATTTTTAAAATAAATAAACAAAGTCTCCCAATGCCAAAATCTGGGCCTAATAAAATTGTAATCACCATATACTAGGCTCAGAAAAACAAGAATTTTTGAAAAAATCTCAGATATGTTAAAATAAGGCTTAAATTTCAAAGACCATCATCTGAATTATAAACATACACCTCAAATACCAGAAAAGAACCTCAAGAGTCATGCAATCTAGGACTCTGCCTTTAAACAAGTAAAATATTATCAATCCCTCAGTTACATATGACCAAGTATTTGTAAATTAGTGTTAACTATATTATTTAAACTAATGTAAAATTATAAAATTAGATCTACAGAATTCCAACTAAGATATTAAAATAAAAATTGACTCGTTGCATACAAAATGATTGATTAGTGTAGAAAAACAAGAGAAATGTGACTATTATAGAACCGCTTTTTGCTGTTTAGTCACTAGGTTCTGTTTGACTCTTCTGCGACCCCGTGGACTGCAGCACGCCAGGCTCCTCTGTTCATGGAATTTTACAGGCAAGAATACTGGAGTGGGTTGCCATTTTCTTTCTCTAGGGAATCTTCTCAACCCAGGGATTGAACCTGTGTCTCCTGCATTGACAGGCAGATTTTTTACCACTGAGCCACCAGGGGATTAATCCATGCTGTAATTAATATGCTGTAATCCATATGAGTTTAGAACTTTTTACCATTTTAAAATATTTTAAACTATCACTTCAAAAGAAAACATGTTCTTTTGACAAACTGTTTTGAGTATTCAAATGGAAAGAAATTTATACAAGCAAGGTCATCCAGCTAGGAAGATGTTTTCTATAACCCAACAATTTTAGCATATATTACTAATATAAGTCTGTTTTAAATGTACTATATCATTCTGCATATTTTCTTTATAGCTTAATATGAGTAAGTATCATTGGTGTCAACACTCTTTTAAAAACATTCATTCACGTATCATTCAAGGAAAATATTTTTTAAGTATATATTATTTTGACTTGTATTTCCAAACTGACAAGAACTCAACAATTATAAGGGTTCATGTTTTTTTAATGTAATAAAGCTAAAAGAAAAGATGGAATTAGCCTGATAGAATTTCACCATCTAATGATTCTCAAAGTCAGAATCCTGTCACTTCTATTGAAGAAACATTTTGGAAAAATAAATTATTTACAGAAATTTGTTGCTTTTATTTTGTTCTGAAAATCACATGAGGTATGATACAACCACTATCTGTGATTAGTGCAGATATTTTCAAAGCAATATAGTGTTAGTCTTTTGAATTCATGGGCTGCTGTCTTTCTCGGACTTTTCTCAATTTTTCCCTTTGCAGTTCTTGAACCCAATCCTCCTAGAGCTTTTAATAAACTGTTAAACAAAATTGTTTCAACATCTGTTGCGAAAGTATTTCAAAGAAACCTAAAATGTGAAACTTTTCCCAAATATATGCAAGTATTATCTTTTTTAAATCAACGTGTTATTTTTTTCTAAGACAGTAAACTCACAATTTATATCTATCTAGAAAACTGTACTATATCACTGCAATTTGGCTAATTTTTTGAAACAGAAAGGAGCTCTTTACATTTGCAGTAAAAACTGTACAGACATTATAAAGTGAAAGTAGATAGAATTCTTTCACATTGCCAAAGCTTTTGTAATACAGAATAATCTGAGTGTGCTAAGGTCTATTCCATAAACAATGGTTAAAAAAAAATTCTAGTAAAACTGATTACTCCAAGTATTGTCATACTAATTTTTTATTAATATATTTCTTTCTAGTAGTATCTACAGGCAATTGAAGAATTTGAAATAATAATTCTATTAAGTATTGTAATTAACTTATAAATAAATGGACAAATAGGTGGATAAAAAAGTAATTTCTTGAGTGACTCAGGAAATGTATTCTTAATTTCTTAAACAGTTAAACAATTTCATCATATTTATTAGTATTCTAAATAGAAGCAAGATATTCTATTAAAAGTTTATGTTCTAGGAGCTCTGTAATAAGTATTACTTTGAAAAGCAATTACATTTTAAAAAACAGCTAGACTATGAAAAACTATACAAAAATTGTGTTTTGTATGATTTAAAGGCAGCTTGAAGATGGTCTACACAATTCTATTCAAGAAAAAAATTAATTTTCTATATTAAGAAGTAGCATTTAATTTACCAATTATTTTTCATACGGGAGACATAATATTTTGGCATCTCTTAAAACTCTTCCAAAACATCAAAATGTTTTTCTTTTACAGTTAGGTTATTTAAACTCTTATAAAGTCAGTATTAACAGCTAGTGTAAACAAATTAATCTGATGAATTAAAATAAAGTAAGGAATTCAGAAAATTCACTATATAAAATGTTCACTTTCAGAGCAGACCATTATGTACACCGTTCAAGTAAAGAGAGTAGAGACGGCAGCTTGTTGATACAGAAACCCCCTACCACAGTTGGTTAAAGAATGAACTTGGTGCTTGCAAAAGACACTGCTAGCCCTTCACACATAAAGAAATGCTAACAGTGAACCAGAAAACATGTAAAGAATATGTTCTGTATTATATATTCTAATAATCGTATCTCTATACATGATTGCTTACGGTAAACATGAAGTGCAGAAAAGCCGAATGCTTGAACTACGTATTTTTCTAGATAAAACACGATTAAATTCTGTATTTCAGTTTTTAATTGATCCCATTTTGATTTAATAAGCGTTTAACTCAAATGGATGTCAGTAACACTTTGATTCTTAAAAACTGTATGCAGACAGTGCTCAGTCAGAATTTATAATTCAATACAGTGTGTAATAAAGTAAGTTACCATCATACTTTTTTTTACTTCATGTTATTCTTAATTATACTAATATAATATTAAAAACTCATTTCTTTCATATGAAAGATTACTTTCATAAATTTTTCTTTTTACCACAATTTTCTCCCTTGTTTTTTTGAAATCATTTAACATTATAAAAATAGAGGAATAAATATTAAAATATATAGCAAATGTTTCATTTTTGCCTCAGTGGGTGTTAAAGCAGCAATTGCTGGGTTTCTGCCCTTTTCTTCCCCCTCATTCTCTTACTGACAAATGTATTATTCAATGTTTAAAAATAAGCGTAGAAGAGTTGAATAAAAGCCATACTACCTAATAACTTCAAACTAATGAAACCACAGACTAACTTGATTTTGTTTTCATCACCACTTTCACATCTCTTTCAGCCAAATGTTCATCAGCCGAAAACAGAATCAGTCACAGCAATCCCACTACCCTAATGCGTATTCCGTATGTAACTCCCCACGCATCAAATATAAAGTTTGCACAGTTTATCTTTCAAACATCTAAATAAATATGTACATATATAATACAAAATCCAAATTACTTATAAAGCCTTAACAAATTTATATGTGTATGCACATACACACATATTTATACTTCAATAATATATATACATATCCCCCCAACAAACACACCCCACATGTATATATCTCCATACTCTACCAGTCTTCTACCGAGAAGCTGAGTTACAGTCATTAAAAGGATTATCCAAAATAACTGGCTGAATAACAATACCTTGGATAGGGTCTGAATGAGTATATATTTAACAGAGCATGTCAAATGTGAGGATTCCCATTCTGAAGACTATATGTGTATGACCTAAATGAAACTGTTTGAAGCCTGAATACTGCATTCAATAATACAGACCTGGGAAGGAAGTATTTTTTTTCCTTCCTGAAGTGAATTTGATGCTTCTGACTGACAGATTGAGAAGAAAAAGTATAGCTCCAAAGTAAATTAAGTATTCACAGAACAAACAGTGCAGCTGCAGGAGCAATTCAAATTTCCTATCACCAATGTTTCAATCCTCTTTTAAAAGAACCATTTCTGAGGTCAAAGGTTACTCCCATTTTCATAGCTATTTAGCCCCCTGGCTAATGTAGCTAACTAACATGGGTGCCATTAAATAGTGACAACTGCGATAATGTATATATCTATGAAAGCAGCAAGTCATTCTATAAAGGCTGCCAACTACTACAAAAAATAGTGATTTTTCAATTCCACAAATTGTTTCCATGATAATTTATCTAACACTGGTTTACATTACTCAAAAATTAAATCTATATTGTTTAAATAAAATATTAATCATATTACATTCCAAAAGTTACAAAGGAGACTGAAAATTAATTTTAAATAACAATATAGATCATCCAATAAGCCACAGTCCAACCACTTGGACTTACAAAGTAATCCCAAACTATCTCTGATGTGTGTGTGTGTCTGTGAGTCTGTGCACACATATCCTCCTGTTTCACAAAAAGAAAATGACTCTGCCTTATGAACCTCCTCTGCCAATTACTGATAATAGCTTACCTGGTATTATACATTATAAAGAAGCTTGAAGATATTCTGAAATAAATAAGTAATACACAATTTGGTCAAAATTTGAAATATCAAAGATTCAAAAGAAAAATACTAAAAGTGATAGAAAGAGAAGTTTTATTATAGATGTTAAAGGGAAAGAATTCCATATGATATAAATTTAAATTCCTAATAACGTAATTTCTGAATAGTTGCAAATGGAAAATAAGTTTGTAAAAAATTTAAAATTCTATGTTGTTTCATTACATTACTGAGATATACAGTCATTTTTATATAGCTCTGACAGAGGATATATGAGTCACAGAGAAGTGTAAAAATGCACATATAGGTTGTGTAATTCTATTAGTTACGAGCCTACTGAAGTACTTAACACTGACTCTGATTTTTCTGTGATTATTCGTGAATCTTTTAAAATGGTAAAATGGTAAGATGGCTTCACTTTGTACTTCCAAAATATTGACTTTTAAAAATGAATGTAACTGAAACATTATTCACTAAATTGCTGGAAGACATAAATTAACTTTTTTAAAGAAAAAAAAAAACAAAACCCTGTATCTCAAATTGGAAAAGAAGCGAAAAGGAAAAATAACTTTCAGAATTAAGACTTAAGGCTTTAAATAATTATCTGTAGAGAACTATTTTCTTCTCTTTAATATACAAGTAAATCAACAATAATTACTTCTCATTTTAGAAACTAAATCTTCAATTTAATAATTTAATAACCCGAATTTACACAGGAATTTGCAAGGGTTTTCTTTTTAAGTGGATAAAAGAAGACAAAAAATGCCAAAAGGAAAGCTATTGTCTAGTTTTGACTGATCAACAATCACTTGATATGATGAAATATATTATTACAGATAATTGTTCAAGTCCTATGGCATCTTAGAATGACTTGAAGTAGTAAAGGGTTGGCCTGTTTTAACTGCAGTCACAAAGCAATTCAGTATTTAAATATTTATAGAAAACCAAATTAGATTAGTTTTCTTTTCTGCTTTTGTGTTGCTTTTTTTTTTTTTCTTCCTCTTCTGTAGTTAGTTGAGCTTTAAAAGACAATATAAAGAGTATACAAATACTTTGGGACCTTTGTTGTTTAAATTTTAAGACAGGCCCCCATTTTAATCCCAGAACATGTTCACTTTAAAATTTTGAGAATTCTCATTTCCAAAGAGTCAGAATATTCCTCAAGTCAGAATATTAATTTCATCCTCCTAGCTCCCTAAAAACCAAAAAAAACCTCACAACTTCCAAATAATTCAATATACGGTCCTTACACAATTGCGCCACCTAGTGTTTACTATCCAATAATCATACAAATTTAGTACCGTTTTCTCAGTATTTAAAACAAAACCAAACCACTGCCATCACCCAAAGGATAGCACCACAGTACATCAACCACACAAACTTCAACTTATCTTTGTTTAGCTTACAAAAGTGTAATAGTTTAATGTACTAACATTTCAGATTTTAACCGTGATCTACTTAAATATTCTCAATGTCCACTGAGTTTAGCTCTCAACTCTGAAAATACATGTTTCAAAAATGCTCAAACTGACACGTATTACTTCAAGAAAAAAATTATTTTAAAATCTAGAGTACGTTTCAATATCAAAATTAACAGGGAAAAATAAGAATGGTGATGGCTTCTTCATGGGCAAAGGCAACAACATACTTTCTCTTCTGTCTACTCCTTTGGCTTCCTGAGGGCAACAGAAGGTTAGTTTCCTGTTCTCTACCCAGAGTCACAGTTTAAATACGATATAGCTATATATAAGGAAAACATACTACTATAGTTTCTGCAGTAAATTATTTGATTTTTTAAAACTGATGCTCTTGCTATAGTGTTGAGCAATAACTTCTTTAAATTGCATCCATGAGTGATAAAATACCATAATTATATGAAATTTACAATAGTAACCTGACATTTAATGTCATAATGATTAAAAGTCATAATTACTGTTCTTACATGATAATCAAGCATAAGTGCTAAATTCCTGTTCATAGGAATTACCATAATCCACATGGCCTTCAGGTAGTTAAAATCAAACATTCCTAAGGAAAGGCTGGAGGAAGACAAAAGGAAATTCAGGTGGAAGAGAAAGGTACTCTAATGCCCTATCAAAGACATTAGATCTATATTCTATTAATACACTTGGGAGAGTCGATCCTACCTCTTTCCTAGTAACGATATGCCATGGTCATAGGTTACTTAACTCCCTGGGTGGTAACTGTATCAGTTCTCCAACTTGTGAACCTCCACTGTCAAAAGACAGGACAGAACCAACACACTTTGGCTAAGAGGGGTTAGTGTAAATGTGTATGGAGTGTGTATGGGGACAGGGTTTGAAGGAGGGAAGGGGAGAGGTGGAGGGAAAAAGAAAATGGAGGGCTTGAACCCAAACTAAAAACTATTACAGGTTCCCCATTTTAACAGCAGAGGTGTGCAGCAAATCTTTGGAAGAGTGTCATTTCCCTTTGTTTTCCAGCACTAGATCTTTATCAGCCACGCACTTTCTTACCTCAAGTCCACTCTATGATAATCTTCCCTTTCATCTTTGGACACTTCATTCTTCACGTTCCCCCTAGTTAAAAGATATGATTATATAATTTATCTAAATCTGAACATAGCAACAATCTCAAGTAGAGCTCAGATCTACCGAGAAATATTTAAGTGTTTACAGAACACTCTGTATTCCCTAGAAGCTGAAAGTACGTAAAGATATTACACTTTCATGGCAAAAAATGAAACAATGGTCCGCAAAGGTTTGCTTTAGAGTTGCTTCTAACATATTCATAAGATAACTATTACCTGTCATGAAAACTAGATTCTATGGTAATAAAAGAGGCTCAGATGATTTTGCAGAGAAGGCAATGGCAACCCACTCCAGTACTCTTGCCTGGGAAATCCCATGGACCGAGGAGCCTGATAGGCTGCAGGCCATGGGGTCGCAAAGAGTCAGACATGACTGAGCGACTTCACTTTCACTTTTCACTTTCATGAACTGGAGAAGGAAATGGCAACCCACCTCAGGGTTCTTGCCTGGAGATTCCCAGGGATGGGAGCCTGGTGGGCTGCTGTCTATGGGGTCACACAGTCGGACACGACTGATGTGACTTAGCAGCAGCGGCAGATGATTTTGAATCTATGAGATGTGGCTATGGTGCAGAAATTTTTTCAAACTTAAATAAAACTCACTAAAAAATTTCCCTGTGCTATACTGGTCTAGAATTTCCATGATCCTACAAGCCAACTCTGGTAATAGAGTCTCCTAAGATTCTGAGACCCATGGCTCTCAGGACCCTAAATCTAATTTAGAATCCCAAAGCACAATAACTACTAAAATGTTCTGGAATATTATATCCAGGGAAGCAGAGAAAAAAGGAGGAGGTCTGTGGCCTATAATTAGCTTAGCAAAAAGAAGATATATAGGTGACATTTGCTCCTATTCCTCCTGTGGAATCAAATAAAATTAGAGAATGCTAAAAAAAAGGTTTTTATATGTAAGCTATGTGGTGATAGATAACCCAGAGCCTTGAACATGTACTAAGAGCAGAAGAGTAATATTAGCTTTTAAATTCAAGATGAAAATGAAGTCTAGGCCTGTCAAAGATAGGGAATCCAACAGGCAACCAGTCCCACTGAAAACCCTGAGCCCATAAGTTCTACACTCTCAGCATCAGGTGCTAAATTCCCACCCAACTTCTCTTACGCCTAGAGGACTCTCAAGAAAGCTGCCTCGGTCCTGAAGGCAAAGGTGAGGGAGGGCAGGGGAAGGATCCTGTTCCTGAGAAACTAGCTCAAAGTCAGCCACCACATAGAACTGCAATCCAAATTTTCTTGACCTGGGTATCCAAAACACCTTAAGTTTTTAACTTAGCCCAAAGTGGTTCTAGACAGGTAGTGAACATCAACAGCAAAAATGCAATTTTGCTTGGGGGAATTAATACACACATTCATTCCAGACCCCAAAGACTCCCCAAAAGTAATTTTTCAAATAAAAAGTGACATAATGAAATATGGCATCATGAGCAAGAACCAGTAAAAATAGTAGAAACCAGAAACAAACAAAAAGAATTAACATATTAGAATCAGCAGGTACAAATGGGCTTCCCTGATAGTTCAGTTGATAAAGAATCCACCTGCAATGCAGGAGGCCCCAGTTCAAATCCTGGGTCCGGAAGGTCTGCTGGAGAAGGGATAGGCTACCCACTCCAGTATTCCTGGGCTTCCCTTGTGGCTCAGCTGGTAAAGAATCGACCTGCAATGCAGGAAACCTGGGTTTGATCTCTGGGTCGGGAAGATCTCCTGAGAAGGGAAAGGTTACCCACTTCAGTATTCTGGCCTGGAGAATTCCATGGACTATAGTCCATAGGGTCATAAAGAGTCAGACACGACTGAGCAACTCTCACTTCACTTTACCAATTATAAAGTAACTGTGTTCATTATATTTAAACAAATTAAAAACTCAAGGTTGAAAATACTGTAGCAAACAGTAAACTATTAAAAATAAACTTAGATTTTAGACAGAAATAAAATTCTTAGAAAGAAAACATAATAATTAAAATTAAAACGCAATGGAAAAAATTAACACATTAAAGAACCGGAAGACATGAAAGCATTAGTTTGAAAATTAGTTTAAAATATTTAAGCATAGTTTAAGAAACTTAGAGTGCAAAGTGAGAAGTTCCATGGTATGTCTGATGTTGCTTAATAAGAAGAAAAGGGGGCAGAGGCAAAAAATTTGAAGAAATACTAAGAAATTTCCCACAGTCATGTAAAATAATAACCTACAGACACAACAAGCTCAACAAATGCAAAGCAGGATTTTAAAAGAAAGAAATATTCATGTCTAGACACATCACAGTGAAAATGTACAAGGACAAAGAGAAAGCCAAGATTTCAAAAGTAGTTAGACAGATAGGTTTTAAACAAGCAACACTAAGACATTTCACTTCAATAAACACAAGAGAAACTATGTGCTCTGAAAAGATCTGAGACATAAAAAAGAAAAGTAAGAAATACAAGTATGAAACCATGTATTAAATGCATAATAGCAATTTCTCTTGAGGTTTTAATAAAAGCAAAATTGAAATACAGTAAGATATAAGTCGAGAGTCAGGCAAAAGTATTAAAAATAATTGAAAAATTCTAAGGTCCAAAGATGGGCTCAATAAAGGACAGAAATGGTATGGACCTAAGAGAAAGTATTTAGAAGAGGTGGAATACACAGAGGAACTATGCAAAAAAGATCTTCACAATGCACATAATCACAATGGTTTGATCATTCACCGAGAGCCAGACATCCTGGAATGTGAAGTCAAGTGGGCCTTAGGAAGTATCACTATGAGCAAAGCTAGTGGAGGGGATGGAATTCCAGTTGAGCTACTTCAAATCCTGAAAGATGATGCTGTGAAAGTGCTGCACTCAATATGCCAGCAAATTTGGATTAAAGCTCAACATTCAGAAAACTAAGATCATGGCATCTGGTCCCATCACTTCATGGCAAATAGATGGGGAAACAGTGGAAACAGTGGCTGACTTTTTTGGAGGGGGATCCAAAATCACTGCAGATGGTGACCGCAGCCATGGAATTAAAAGACGCTTACTCCTTGGAAGGAACGTTAAGACCAACCTAGACAGCATATTAAAAAGCAGAGACATTACTTCATCAACAAATGTCTGTCTAGTCAAGGCGATGGTTTTTCCAGTAGTCATGTACAGAAGTGAGAGTTGGACTATAAAGAAAGCTGAGCACTGAAGAATTGATGTTTTTGAACTGTGGTGTTGGAGAAGACTCTTGAGAGTCTCTTGCACTGCAAGGAGATTCAACCAGTCCATCCTAAAGGAAATCAATCCTGAATATTCATTCGAAGGACTGATGCTGAAGCTGATACTCCAATACTTGGGCTACCTGATGCGAAGAGCTGATTCATTTGAAAAGACCTGATGCTAGGAAAGATTGAAGGTGGGAGGAGAAGGGGATGTCAGAGGATGAGATGGTTGGATAGCATCACCGACTCAATATACACGAGTTTGAGTAAACTCTGGGACTGCAGCCTGGCGTGCTGCAGTCCATGGAGTCACAAAGAGTTAGACACGACTGAGCGATTGAACTGAACTGAAGGTCCTTATATTGCCTGAAAAGGAAATAGAGGTATTGATTAGCCTTAGATTTTAAAAGTTGGTCTCTCCTCCCCTCAGTCCCACTCCCCTCAAGTGACCCATATTAAGTTACCTCATCTTCTATAACGCTATTTTACAGGTGAAGCAACAAAGGCTTGGGGGACGCTGCTGGGCTGATCCAGAGTTGCCAGACAGATCAGATCCATTAGCACAGCTTTCACTATTCTGACTGCAGCAATCCTTGTACAGTAAACAGTAAGCACAACTTGTGATCTCCTGGGGCCTCCAAATCTTCCCCAGTTTACTTCAAGCCAACAATTCCCTGGAAGGGTCTAAAAGAAGAGAAATGAGTATATAACTTCCAAAGTAATGGAAAGAGAAAATGGAGCAATAAAAAAAAAAATACTAATCAACTATAAGAAATCATTTCACACCTATTACAATGGTGAAAATCCAAAAACACTGACAATACCAAATGTTAATAAGAATGTGAAGCAATATGAACTCTCACTCATGACTGGTAAGAATATAGCCACTCTGAAAGACAGTTTGGCAATTTCTTACAAAATAAAATATACTCTTACAATATAATCCAGCAATCAGACTCCTTGGCATCTATCTACCAAAAAAAAATCAAAACCCCTGTCCACACAAAAATCTGCAAACAGATGTTTACAGCAACTTATTCATAATTGCCCAAACTTGGGAGCTAGCAAGATGTCCTATAGGAGATGGATAAACTGTGGTACATCCAGACAGTGGAATATTATTCACCACTAAAAAGAAATGAGCTATCGAGCCATGAAAAGATACAGAGGCCCTTTAGATGCACATTACTAAATGAAAGAAGCTAATCTTAGCAAGGTTATACACTGTATAATTCCAACTGTATGACATTTTGGAAAAGACAAAACTATGAAGATAGTAAAAAAAAAAAAAGGATCAGTGATTGCCAAGGATTGGGCGGGGGGGAGGAATGATTAGGGAAAGCAGAGGATTTTTAGAGCAGTGAAACTTGCTCATACTATAATAGTGAATAGGTATCATAATACATTTGTCAAAACTCATAGAATGTAGAACATCAAGAGTGAATCCTAACATAAACTAAGGACTTTGGGTAATGATGTGTCAAGGTATGTTAATCAATTGTAACCAACGTACCATTTTCGTAAAGGAGGCTGTGGGAAGGGGGTAGATTTGGGTGGGGTGACTAGTAGGTATATGAGAACTTTCTATACTTTCTGCTTAATTTTTCTGTGAATCTAGAAGTACCCTAAAAAAATACAGTGCATCTTTTAAAAATTCAACCAATGCAAAAGTAGGCAAGAAAGGAGAGGAAAAGAAACATAGACTAAGAAGAACCAATAAAAATCACAAAATAAGATGGTAACCATAAAGACGAAAATATAAACAATTACATCAAATGTAAATGGATTATGTGCTCCAGTTAAAAGGCAGAGATTGTCAGACTGGAAAAAGAAAACTAAACGCAAACATGATACTTAAGAGATATATATAAATATAAGGATACACAAAAATTCAAGATAAGAAGAAAAAGGATTCATCAAGAAAATGCTAACCAAAAGATGCCTGGTGTAATATTAATACTAAGCAAGAAAATAAGGTGAAAGGCATTCTAAGAATTGCTACAGTAAAGACAGTCAATTCATAATCACAGGGGTTAGGTTCACCATAAAAAAATTAACTTACATTGAGTATAAGTACAATAATACAACCTTAAAATATCAAAAATTTAACAGAACTAAAAGGAAAAATAAATAAGTCTAATATTTCCTCATTGAAAGTCATAAAAATGGGATATATATATTAAAAAATTAATAAACTTTCCTCAATAAACAGAGATCACTACACTCAAAAGCTTCGGCAGAATATACACTCTTTTCAAATTAAATTTGGAAATTAAAAAATCAAATGGGTCAAAACAAATCTTCAGAAATAATAAGGGGTTTAGATCATACAAAATATATTCTCTAATTAAGCTGGAAATAAAAAACAAAAAGAGCATTAAAACAAATATCCATATGTTAGAAATTAAGAAACACTTCTAAATAATAAGAAAAAGTTAACAGAAAAAAAAACATTAAATATTTTGAACTAAATAATAATGAAAATTCACTTGTGTAAAGCATCTACCTAAAGAAGTTAAAAATAAAAAGGGCTAAAAGTAGCACTATTCACAGTAGTCAAAATAAAGATACAACCTAAGTGTCCTTAGTAAATGGAAAAGGAAAATGTGGTATACATATACAATGGATTATTATTCAGACTTAAAAAAGAAAAGTCTGCCATTTGTAACATGGATAAACTTGGAAGACATCATGCTAAGTGAAATAAGTCAGACACATGATCTCCCTTATATGTGGAATCTAAAAAACACTCTTAAACAGTAAGAATGGTGGTTACCACCAGAGACTAGAGGATGGGAGAAAGGAGAGATACTGATCAAAGGATACAGACTTTCAGTTATAAGATGAGTAAGTTCTAGGGACCTAATGTACAGCATGGTGACTCTGTGTGTGTGTGTGTGTGTGTGTGTGTGTGTTCAGTCACTCAGTTGTGTCCCACTCTTTGCAACCCCATGGACTGTAGCTTGCCATGCTCCTCTCTCCATGGAATTTTACAGGCAAGAATACTAGAGAGGGTAGCCATTTCCAACTCCAGGAAAAGTTCCCAACCCAGGGATCAAACTCACGTTTCTTGTGTCTCCTGCATTGGCAGGCAGATTCTTTACCACTACATCAGCATTAACAACAATGTACTGCAAACTTGAGATTTGCTACGATAGTAGATCTCAATGTTTTCAGCAGCAGAACCACCATCCCCCACCTCCTGCCACAAAAAAGGTAACTATGGGAAGTGATGGATACATCAGTTAGTTTGACTGTAGCAATCATTTCACAAGGTATACATTTATTGAAACATCATGGTGTTTACCTTAGATACAATTTTTGTCCAAAATAAATTAATAAAAAAATTTTAAGAGCTTGAAAGTAAATTCAAAGTAATTGGAAGAAAAAACAAAAATGCAGAAATTAATTAATTCAGAAACAAAAGCACCATAAAGTTAAAGTACTTTATATTTCAATAGAAACTAGAAAAAAAGTAACTAGCATAAAAAACATTTTAAAACTATATACTCTTACAAATAGTTAGCAATTAGAAAGACAGGCAGATATAAGAACAAATCCATAGTAAATGCTGCTTATCCCCAAGGTTCTGAATTGTTCCAAATGCTAAGGAGGCGAGGTTTGAAATAGGCTGTTAATTATGCAGGGAAGATGCAGACTCTCAGTTCTTTCCGGCATTATCTCCCACTGATCCCCACTCCCCCAAGCCAGACCTTTCTGGAGCAACTTTTGAATCCCTGTTCTGTCCTAAACATCTTCAGATGCATTTACAAAAGCTTTCTCTCCTTTTTTTTTGCCTTCTATAAAACTGGTTTCTCTTACATTCCCCAGTGATGGTCCTTTCTCTTTATCTCATGCCTTCCTAACAGCACTGTTTGTCTCCTATCTTAAGAAGAAAAACAAAAAACTTTTCTCTACCCTCAGTTACCATCACTTTCCTTTAAAAAAAAAAAAAAAAAAAAAACCAACTCTTGAATGAGTTTTCTCCACATCCTCCATTGAGGTCTCACTCTCAACTCCTACACTCTGACTGCTATCTTCACCCTCCATGAAACCTGCTTTCTCTAGAGTCACAGTACCTCCCTGCTCCTAAAGCTAATGGACCTCTTGCAGGCCTTATCTTAAGGTCTCTCCTATTCTCTGACACCATTAACCATATCCTCTTTATGGAAAGATTCTCTCCCCCACACTCTCCAAATAGCTTACTTCCTAGCTCTCTGACCACTCTTCCTTAAGCATCATTTTTTTTCTGCTTATACCAGAATTCTGACCTGCGTTCTGTTTTCTTCTCACTTTATATACAATCCCTAGATCACCTTACCTTCTATCATAGTTTCATTTCCCATTTACAAAATTAAATCTCAAGCACATAACCACAGGATGGTATGCCATCTCTTCTCCAACTATTTCAATTCCTTAAATGAGAATTTCTGCATATCATGTTGCCAATCATGTTGCCAAAATTGAAGCCCTCATCATTACCAAGCAAACATGTCCATCTTCTTGTGGTTCCAGTTTTAGTAAATGATATTTCCATTCACTTAACTGATCAAGGTAGAAACTTACACACTCTTACATATTGTTCTTGTGGCTCACATCTAATCAATTACTCTCCACTAAATTCTACTTTGGGCTTCCCTTGTTGCTCAGCTGGTAAAGAACCTGCCTGCAGTGCAGGAGACCTGGGTTCAATCCCTGGGTTGGGAAGATCCCCTAGAGAAGGGAAAGGCTACCCACTCCAGTATTCTGGCCTGGAGAATTCCAAGGGGTCGCAAAGAGTCAGACAGGACTGAGCGACTTTCACTTTCCTTCAAATTCTACTTTATAAATATCTTTCAAAATTATCCAAATCTCTCCTTTAAAATACCAGCATCTATCCTAAGATTTCAAAAACCAACACCCTAAAATTCATCATTTCTTATAAATAATATGAACTTTTTCTACTTTCAAAAGAAAAATTAGGTTAGCTTTCAAATATTTATATATCAATCTGTATACACTTAACTATGTTTAACTACATCCATATGTTAAAAAACAAAACCCTCCCTCTACTTCCAACTACTTTCTTCTACTCCCAACTGAATGAATACATCCATTCTTTCAATTCATTCATTCAATCAAGATTTCCTGAACACCTGAAGTATTCCAGCCACTGTGCCAGGAAATGAAAGATAGGCAGTTTGCCCCTAAAGAATTACACTGATTTCTACACCCACCATTAATTTAGGGGGAAAAAAAATGTTTAGCATAGGAAAGGTCAATCCAAAAGATCCCATTCCTTCAAACAAAAGGACTTTGGGATGTCATATCAAGGGTGACCTTAATATACTACAAGTGTAAAAGAAAACATGTGATCTCACAATTAAAAATAGCCCTAAGTAATAAGGACAACAGCTAAGTTGAAATCACACTGCCACATGACTTTAACCCAAGTCCCTGTGGGATGCAGAGGCTTAAGCCACAGAACACTTCTCAGGACAACAAGACTCCTTGAAATACCCTTACTACCAGTATCAGCAGGACTGCCACCTATGAGCCCTCAAAACCTAAGTCTGCCAGACATTTTGTATTTTCCTCTGAGAGGTCTTCATACTTCAGAATTACCTGGTTCTAAAAGCTAAGCTTTCGTATTTTAATTGTCTTC